TCTAACATTACGCAACACCACACCACACAATATAATAATAATACCATATACGACCCAACTAATACTCCAATTAATGCCCGCCTCACCTCAAGTAATACTCTCGCACGTTATTTTTCAAAATGAGGCCAGCAACAGAGCGTGTTGGTTCGTCTTCCGATTTTAAGTGAACCATGACGTAGGCGAGGTAGCTATTAAAATCAGGAAACTGGTTAAGAGTTTGTAGGCGCTATAATGGAAAGAGGGGGAGAGTGTCAAAATATATGCAAAATATCCCGTTCCCAGCTTTCCATTCCGGGTTTTCCATACCTCGTGGACTGTTCTCTGAGTCTCGTTGTTCGAGTGCTGGCTCTCTTTGAGTAATTGGACTATTTGGTGAAGAGCGGACGGCTCGGGCTGCCAGGGGACGGACATTATGCGGGGCCGGGACAGCTAGAGCTTCAGTCTCGAGGAAGGGTTCTATAGCTTAAGGCAAACACTAACTGAAACGAAGAGAGAAAGAGGAGAGAATCCCACCATCTCATGCCATAGCTCTCTACTGCTGTGCTGCGCATGCGCAATGGGCACACCCACCAAACCAACCACGTGACCGCCTACTAATTAAAAATGGCCGGAAAGCATAGCATTGAGAAGCTCAAATTTTTTTATTGAGCATTTTATAAAAACAACAAAAGAGAAGGAGCAACAGACTTAATAATAATAATAATAATAATATATCTTAATAATAATGATATTATTTTTAATGAAGTGTATTGGCATTAGTTGCATTAGTAATGGAATGTATTGCAAGTGTTGTTGACACAGTTCCTGCTGTTGTGGGCTGGACGGGACTATAACTAATCTGCCTGAAATAAAAGAACTAGAAAAATAATAAATAAAATTAATATAGATACATTGCATTTTATTGCGAGTCTACCTTAAAACCAATCGCAATCCCAGCATGAAGTAGTACAACAAACAGCATAACAATCAGTGATACCTATAAAGTATATGATATACAGTCAAACCTGTCTATTCCGGACACCTTGGGACCCAATAAAACTGTCCTTATTATAGAGGTGTCCTTATTTCAGAGGTTCATTAATACACATTACTATTGTATTGGGACTGATACTACCTGTCCTCATTATAGAGGTGTCCTTATTTTAGACTGTCCACAATAGCAGGTTTGACTGTATACGGATACAATGTACATGTATTCACTGTTAGATCTAGAGGGAGTTAAGATCTCCTATTCTTAAATCCCTCCTTTAAAGCTTTTAATCTCCTATATCTAGCCAAGTCTCCCATCTTTAGTTAATAGATTTGCCTCCCAAAAATTAATTTATTCATAGTTCCAACAGTGATACTTACCGGGTATATCAACTGGTTGCGTATAATACATGTATGAGCAATGACTTACATTCTTGGTTTCATTACGGAATGTTTGCCAAAGTGACATGGTCAACACCGATCCTATCATAAAATAAAAAGACACAAAAATGTATACATGTACATGTATATACCAGTGGCGTAGGAAGCCGGGGGGCAGGGGGCAGGAGCCCCCCCCTTAGTTTTTAATTCTCAGTCTATTAATTAATTCATTAATAATAACTTTATCTTAGCCCCCCCTTCTCCAAAATCTTACTACACTTCTGTATACATGCACAATGTATTTCAACAGTAAACACAATTTAAAAAATTTGTACTCCCTATTCTGGTGAAAGACAAATGACTACTCATAGTGCATGTACATGTACAACATGCACAAGCTAGTACTACAATGAAAATAATACCGTATAGCTAGAGTGGTAGAATTTGGCGAATCAACTCTAAAGAGGCTTGAAGTTTAAAATTTTGGTGATATTTCAACCCTGTGCATACTTCTATGGAACCCTATCAGATTCGAGACTTAAATTATGGCGAATTAACTTCCATTTGCCATTTTGCCAAATTTTTATTTCACCAAATTTTCTAGCTATAAAGTATATGTTACAGCTTAAATCTGGATTGACACTGATTTGTGCACAACTAAATGTACATGTACACTATGGGGGAATTAAGGTTTATTGATCTGAGACATTTATGGATGGGCAATATCAACTGATATAATTGTGAC